TCAGAAATGGGGGAGGGGGAGGGGAAGGGGGCTCTGAAATAAATAGAGAGAGGCAGGTGTTGGTCTGGGAAAGGTAGGTGGGATGGTGATAGGTGAGTGCAGGTAGGTAGTGGTGGGGATTGGTCAGTGAGGTGGGAGGAGCAGATAGGTGGGAGAGAAGACGGACAGGTCAAGGAGGTGGGGATGAGAGGGAGGGTTGGTCTTGGGATGAGGCTGGGGGTGAGAAGATTTTGAAGCTAGTAATGTCCACATTGAGACCATTGGGTTGTATGGGTTGTAGGCTTCCAAGGCGGAATATGAGGTGCTGCTCCTCCAGTTTCCGGGTGGCGTCGTTGTGACACTGGAGGAGGCCCAGGATGGACATGTCGTCCAGGGAGTGGGAGAGGAAGTGAAGTGGTTCGTGACTGGGAGGTGTTGTCGTTTGTCGCAAACCGAGCATAGGTGCTCTACAAAGCGGTCTCCGAGCCTCCACTTGGTCTCACCGATGTAGAGGAGGTCACATCGGGAACAGCGGATACAATAGACCACATTAGCGGATGTGCAGGTGAACATCTGTCTGATGTAGAAGGTTTTTTTGGGGCTTGGGATGAAGGTGAGGGGGAAGGCGTAGAGGCAGGTTTAGCACCTCCTGCGGTTGCAGGGAAAGGTGCTGGGGGTGGTGGGGCCTTCGGAAACAATGACAGAATTCCCCAAATCCTCACGTATCATCCCATTAACCTCTGGACATCCATCTTATCTGCCTAACTGAACTCGTCCTTACCCTTAACATCTTCTCCTTCAACTCCTCCCACTTCTTACAGATTAAAGGGGTCGCTATGGGAACCTGCATGAGCCCAAGCCATGCCTGTCTCTTTGTAGGATACGTGGAACAGTCCCTCTTTCACAGCTACACTGGTGCTATCCCCCACCTCTTCCTCCGCTACATCGATGACTGTGTCAGCACTGCCTCGTGCTCCCACAAGGAGCTCCAACAGTTCATCAACTTTACTAACACCTTACACCCCGACCACAAGTTCACCTGGTCCATCCCTGATACCTCTCTCTCCTTCCTGGATCTCTCTGTCTCAATCTCTGGTGACCACCTCGAAACTGATACCTATTTCAAGTCCACCAACTTCCATAGTTACCTAGACTATGCCTCCTCTCACCCACCTTCCTGCAAGAATGCAATCCCCTATTCCCAATTCCTCCGCTTCCGTGGCATCTGCTCCCAAGATGAGGTGTTCCACTCCCGAACATCCCAAATGTCTTCGTATATCAAGGACCGCAACATCCCCCCTTCAGTGGTCGAAAATGCCCTCGACCACATCTCTTGCATTTCCTGCACCTCAGCTGTCACACCCCCTCCCCACAATAAAAACAAAGACAGAATTCCCCTTGTCCTCACGTATCACCCCATTAACCTCTGGATTCAACACATCATTCTCCGCGACTTCTGCCACCTGCAATCAGACCCCACTACGAAGGATATATTTCCCTCCCCATCCTTATCTGCCTTCTGGAGGGACCGCTCTCTCTGCGACTCCCTCATCTGCTCCACACTCCTCAGTAGCCCCACCACCCCAGCACCTTTACCTGCAACCACAAGAGGTGCTACACCTGCCCTTACACCTCCCCACTCACCTCCATCCCAGGCCCCAAAAAAACCTTCCACATTACCTGCACATCTGCTAATGTGGTCTATTGTTTCCACTGTTCCCGATGTGGCCTCCTCTACATCGGTAAGACCAAGCGGAGGCTCAGAGACCGCTTTGTAGAGCACCTACGCTTGGTTCGCGAACCACTTCAACTCCCTCTCCCACTCCCTGGACGACATGTCCATTCTGGGCCTCCTCCAGCGTCACAATGACGCCACCCGGAAATTGGAGGAGCAGCACCTCATATTCTGCCTTGGAAGCCTACAACCCAATGGTCTCAATGTGGACATTACTAGCTTCAAAATCTTCCCACTCCCGGCCTCATCCCAAGACCAACCCTCCCTCTCATCCCCGCCTCCTTGACCAGTCCGTCTTCTCTCCCACCTATCCGCTCCTCCCACCTCACTGACCAATCCCCACCACTACCTACCTACTATCACCGTGCCACCTACCTTCCCCAGTCCAACCCTCCCTCTCTATTTATTTCAGGGCCCCCTTCCCCTCCCCCATTTCTGAAGAAGGGTCCCAACCCAAAACGTCAGCTTCCCTGTTCCTTTGATGCTGCCTGGCCTTCTGTGTTCCTCCAGCTCCACACTGTGTCATGAGTAATTATCAATCACTTGCAGTGCATGCTGGGAATGTAAATACATGGGTGGGTCCTAAAGTGTTGCAGATTATGGGTGCGCACTGAGTCGGAGAGGAAACTACTTGTATGGCTGTTTGTGCTCATGTTGAAAATCAGAAATAAGGTATTCTATTTTGGGAATATTCAGCAAGGCTGTACATTCAGTTTTGCATTGGAATTAGAAGCAAGAGAAGGCTCTTTGGCCGTTTTAACCTGTGCTGTCATTCAATAGCTGATCTGGTTGTAATTCCTGTCATATCCCCATAACTCTTTACTGCCTTGTTTGTCATGCTAGCAACCTCAAACTTTCTTCATATGCTCTCAGCTGTTGGTTTATTTAAGTGGGCCGCTTCAGGCACCAGTACCCAATGAATGAGTTTATGGCCTGGCCAATGTTTGTTGGCTGTAACCATAGCATGTTGTGAAGAATGTGTATTTCTATTTTGTTTGAAGGCTAGCTAGAGTCACATGGCTCTACAAATGGATCTTTGGTTGGCAGCAAGTAGTTGATTAACGACTATGGATGATGACAAAGGCCTTCTGCTTGCCAACAACTATGTAATTCGTTCTGAGGAAGCTGAACAGCTTGAGGCTGTGAACAAGATAACAAGAATCCATCAGATCCCAACCAGTTCAGGACTTTCTCTGTTCTCTGCAATAAAAGCTACCTTAAAATGGAAAAAATGCAGTTTATTTTCCTCTAGCAGTTGCTGTAAGCCATGACTTTTAATGAAAAATCAGAGACCATTTATAAGTCTGAACCAGCCTCTATGCTGCCTGCAAACTAATGAAAACACCTGGAGAATGAAGACAGAGAAGCAACATGCTGATCAGCACAAGAACCATCTCAGCGGGACCAATGCACAGAGAAACTGGACTTGCTTTCCCAGTTTTCCCTCCATTCATAACACCCGTGGTTTGTTTTCCTGACTGTGTCTGCATATGTCTAAGTGTGAGATTATAAGGGAACTAGAACTCTAATGTATACCGTAATATACAGTTGACCCATAATTTGCAAAAATAGCAGAAGTGAAATGAATAGCAAGACCCAAAAGCGAGTGTGGCATTTCCATTTTCATGGAGTAGGACCAGAGTCAGGCCAATATTTATGAACACATATTTTATGGAGGCATTGGCCATTTATACCACAAGTTGACTCCACTGAATTGGGATTCTGGCATCTCTGTTGCATAGAACTTGATATGTGAGCATTAGAGCTGCTAAAGCAAGTTGAAAATTTGTGGATTGGTTAGGATACCTAACCAGAGTACTCCTTTAGAGAGATTGGGTATCCTGAAGGGAATCCTTTGAAAAAGAAGGGCGTTGGCAGCCTGCTAACCTTTGGGTTGCAAACAGTAGAGAAGATTGTGCCTAAATGTGCCCTCGGACCTCTCAAGATGTCAAAGAACTGTCAAACTTTCAAGAAGTGGGTTGGCATTGATGGGGCAAATGGAAAGTGTGGGGGACAAAAGGGATATGAAGGGTGAGGGCTGCAGGAATATTTTATTCTTTCAGTTTAATTATTGATATGGTGCTGGAGACCCGAGGCAGGCATTCTGCCCAGCTCACCTTGGAATCCATCAGCCTTGTTAGCTCTTGCTCGGTCACCCAGTCTGAATTAAACCAACCCAGCGGAGAACTAAAAATGAGGAGTGTGGGTGGCTATTCTTAAAAGTTGGAGCCCAGAATTCACCAGTTACTGCACATCTGACCTGGGAATCAAAATCATTGCCATGAATCATAGAATCCCTACATTGTGGAAGTGGGCCATTCGGCCCATTGAGTCCACACCGACCCTCTGAAGAGCATCTCATTCAGACCCACTTCCGACCACCCCCTAACACCGTCATCCTGGTAACCCTGCATTTACCATGCCTAATCACCTAGCCTGCACATCCCTCAACATTATGGGCCATTTCACATGGCCAATCCACCTAACCTGCACGTCTTTGGACCGTGGGAAGAAACCGGAGCACTCAGAGGAAACCCACGCAGACACGGGGAGAATGTGCAAGTTCCACACAGACAGTTGCCTGAGGGTGGAATTGAACCCAGGCCCTGGGACAGACAGCCTTAGACAGAAGGAAAGTCCCCCACACTGCTTACAGGGAGAATTGATTTACAGATGACTTTTGTGCATTGTAAAGGCCTCAGGATAAAGATAAGGATGTCTCGTTAACACTGTGATCATGGGAATACCTGGGGTTGTTTATAAGCCTGCCCATTACTTACCATACATTCACATGATTAATTTGATTGGGTGTGTATGTAATTAATTAATAATACAATTGGCTTGTAATAATCAAAGGCAGGATGAAAACAAATGTACAAAAGTTTATGTTTTTCCCTTTGTTCAGGGAAGAAACTTCTGGACCCCCTGAGATTTCTTCCCACCAGTGTAACATTAATAAACTTGTCGATGCTGGAAATGGACTCTGGGTGTTGAATGGTTTATTTAGTCATTCTGCCCCAACAGTTTGGGAAGTGGGATTAAAATGGGCAGCTGATTCATTCAGCTGGTGCAGACACGATGGAATAGGCTCTTTCTCTGCTCTCACTTTCCTTTGGTTCTATGGGAAAAAAAACTTACTCCTCAAATGCACGTTTATTGTGTTAATTTCATGTTGTGTTAATATTTTATGGTTCAAGACTAGAATGTAGAATTCAGAATAAATTGAAGAAAAAGTAAATTTTCATTGAGTAATCTTTATTGGAAGAAAGGTTGACGTTACCAGATATGTTTACCTCACTATTGAAAATAAAAAATGTCACTTCTCTAACGTAAAGACATTAAAAATTTCTTGTCATACAGAATCCTTGTACAATATATAAGAATGGAGACAATTCATATAAAGCAATGCATATATTATCTCATATTGGAGCTAATCGGGTTTTCTAGCATGGTATCTCATACCTACAAGGAATAGCTATCTTGGAGACTATATATTAAAAGAAAACATACCTGCCCAGAAATTCATAGGTATCAAATCTTTTGCACCTTTAAAATGGGCACCTAAATATCAATATGATGGGTGTCATCCATATACACATGCCACACTCAACATGTACAGCTGATTAAATTGGTAAAGGTATCCACAGCTTGTGCCCAAAAAAGGCAGTTGTCCCTTTGTATATGCAATGGAGGGCTCAACCTCTAAAACTCTTTAGCGACTGATTGTGTACACTATGAAGGTCGCAGGCAGTAACTAACTAACAAGTGTCTGCTGGAGGCTGCTCCCTGAAAATTTATTTTTTGTAACTCACCTTATTGTGAAGCCAGGAGGAGCAGGAGTATTCCTCTCAGCCCCACATTAACTTTCCCTCCCTTCCAATCTCCCCTTCTTCCTCTGCCTACCATCTTAGCTGTCTGATTTTTGTTCTTCGCAGAACCATAAATTGCTTCTAGGGCCTTGACCTCACCTGCAGTTTGTCAACAGTCAACAGAGGAAACGAGTAGGCCAATTTTGCATGGTCCAGCCCTGGATTAGATACATATCGGGGTACAACCAGGGACAATCCAATTTCTAAGCTACTGAGACTTAAAGTTTATCAAAATAAAGTGTCTACAGATAAAGAGCACAAAGAATTTACACTCAGTACCATTTTAGGGAAATATTGTAACAATTGTACTAATTATTCACATTTTCATTCACAAAATTTAACACAGCAATTGACAGCACAGTATTGTCAAATAATTACAGTTGAACCTTACTCATAGTACATGGTTTAGTAAAATAATCACCACAGCTTTAAGTGAGGCAATATTTGGAATGTAAAAGTGCAAATTGATGCTTGGGCCTAGCAGTTTAAAGTAGATGGGGTGATGTTGGTCATGCTAAGTGAGTGATGGTGAATCATTGGCCCATTTTACATCCCACTCCGTTTTCTTTGAAATCAAATGCAAAAACATTGGGCAGATATAAAAAGGGTTCCAAATTTTCTATCACCCATTTTGCATTATCACCAAAGACTAATTTCACTCCCAGTGTGCTTTACTCATGGAGAAGTATCGATATATTTTCCCGTTGGATATCAATAAAATAACATTCTAAAATTGAAGGTACAATTTCAATATATTTCAGTAGCCAAGCCCAGTTTTAATATTCCTGTCTTTTTGAATTTGGAATACAATAATGATACAAATGGTATTGCAGAAAACAAATATCGCAAGAAAATAATTTCAACTCATCTCAGAACAGGAAAGACCAAAGAAAAATGGAGGCAGCAGTGGTTATTCATAAAGTATTTGTAATTTGAAGTGGCATATTGTCAGTAGTTGTTTGACAGTTTTTTGTATAGTTTACATTGAATGGTGGAGTTCTTTTAAATAACCATTTTGCATTTTAAAGACACAAAAACGGATATATTGTAAATATTTTATGACATAATCTACAAAGAATCAAAAACACAGGTGCAAGATTCATATGCCACACTCCCATCACAAGATCAGAATGGAGAAACACAGATCCCGCATAAATCAGCTGTATTTTTCAAAAGGTGCTCACACGGAAGAATCTCTGATGGACTTTTGATGAATTGTCTTGGTTCTGCTAAGGAATGGCAAAGCAGTGCACAAACAGCCTGCCATCATTGTTAACCCTAGGCTACACCATGCACAGAAAATGGACCAACTGTACCCATGGTCAACATCACTTGGTAGCCCATAGATAAATTTTGGTTGACGTGAAAGATCATATGAAATGCTGGCTGCAAATGTGCAAAGAGAAATTGTGCAAAAAATTCCTAAAGGAAAGAAAAAAAGTTGCTGTTATTTTTATCCAAAATATAATACCTTTGAAACACTGTAGTACTTTTTACCATGTAAAGGAAATGTGAAACAAGACAGTGGATATGACAAATTAGTTTCAGTGGCTGAAGCCAATGCATTTTGACAGGATTTTGAGTGTACTCTGAAATGTCCTGTGTCACTTTAAATAAATCACTTTATAAAATACATACACATGTAAGGCTTTTTTCCACGTGTCAGAAAAGGTTCAGAAACAATCGATTGTACAATATGAGTGAAGAGTTTCTTTAAAAATTATCATTTTTTCACAAAGTTATAGATTTTACTGCAATGTGTAGTTACTCTAATTTACAAGATATGATTAGTGGTGCCCCACAGGCAACTTTGTCTTATCTATTCATATTATTTATTAATAACCTAAATGATGAGATAGCAAGTTTGCTGATGATAGCTCGCATTGCAAATACTATAGGTAACAGCATAAATAAGATAAATAATATATAATAAATGAAATGATTAGGCAAAACTGTAGCAAATAAGTTTAACATAGACAAATGTGAGGTCAGCCATTTTTGAACACAGAAGGTTGGAACAAAGTATTTTCTAAATGGCGATAAATTTGGAATAGCAGAGGTTCAAACATAGGATCCATATGCATGTAGACTGTTAAATCGTTATGGACTGCTATGGAAAGTAATCATAAAGGCTGATGAAATATTGGTCTTTATATCTTGAGGACCAGAACACAAGTGGGTGATAGTTATGCTAAAGCTCTATAAAGCTCTGGTTAGGCCACTGATTGAGTACTATGTGCAGCTCTGCGCACCAAGTTATACAGGCCTTAGAGGGACAGCATTGTAGATCTATCAGAATAATAAATGTTAAATTACAAAAGCAGAGCACATAAACCAGACTTGTATTGCTTGGAACTTCAAAGGTTATGGGGTAAATTGATCAAAGTTTTTCTTTTGAAAGTGTGTAGTTAAGGTAGATGGAGAGAAACTATTTTTGTTAGTTGGAGAGTCTAGGACCAGGAGGCATGGCCTGAAATTTTAGAGTTAGAAATTTCCAAGGAAATACTTTTATATAAAAAAGTTAGTAGAAGTTTGGAACTCTTCCTCAGATCTCAGTTGACTGGGGCATAACTTGTTAACTTTATATCTCTTTCAGAGAATTTGAACTAAGAGTAATAAGAAATATGGGCAAAGGGAGATAAATGGAGTTAGATCATGTATCAGCCATGATCTAGTAATGGCAGAACAGGTTTAAAAGATTAAGTGGTCTACTCCATTCCTATTTTCCTTAAGACAGAGAAGCAACATTTAGACTGTCATATGTTGCAGGAACAGATGTCAGAAATTCACTACTTTTTTCTTGCTGAAGTGCTACTGTGGATTGAGATTTTTAACTGGAATTACATAATGGCATTCAGCTAAATTGGAACAGCTTCAAGAGGAAGCCTTGATTCATTTCACCTGACAAGAACAGAAAATATTAGTTTATAGGTTGAATTTTTGATTTAAAAAGTTCTCTGCTGCTTTATTTTGATGACAGTTTTAGGGGTTTGAGATAACTTTGCTGTCTTAGCTACTCCTACAATTCTTTTTCTCACCACTTAGATGCACATATAGTGTTCTATTCCACAGACTTGTGCACAAACTCTGGATTTACTAAACCATGCAGTACACAGGGACTCCTACACTGTCGGAAGTGTCATCCCATCTACTTTTTTTTAGGTGAATATAGAGAAACAGAGACAGCCCTCCTTGGATCCTTGCCTATATCAACGACCATTGCTGAGACTTATTCTCTAGTCATTATCACATCAATAATTTTGGAACTTTGCTGTGCACAATTTAGTTACTGTGTTTCCTACATTACCAGCAATGACCTCAGAAGTATGTAACTGGCTTAAAGCAGTGATGTGGAAAACAAAATACTGTTCACCTGATGCACTGTCAAAAGCTTTCTCTATAATGTACATGATTAGAAGTAAAAGCTATGAATGTAATACAAAAATACTACAGACACATAAACTGCTGAAGTAAAATGCTGGAAAATGACCTGCCATTAGGAAAAGGAGGCCTGCCACATGCTGAGTGAGACTTTCTTCCCAGAAGAAGCTCATTGATGCTACAATACACCCGCACAGCAGGACAGCAGCTGCCATGCCCAGGAATCCAGCCGTGATCCTCCTCAAATCTGTGGTGGCAGAACAGGAATAAAGAAAATAAACATAATTAATATTTCTTCAGAAAATAAAAACCAACTAAGGAGTAGTTTTGACAGCCTTCAATTGACTAAAATCCATAAAATATGTTATTCTTAATAAAGTTAAAGTTATTAATTGCAATACCACTAATAGATGCTAGATCACTCAGAAACGGGACTAAGGGGTTATTTGTTGTAATTCACCAGACTCTGAGCCCCCAGTCTACCTGAGCTGCATTGGAGAAGTGAAATTGATTGCAACTGCAAGCATCAGTTCTTAGAGAGGCAGGTACAAAGGCTGCCAGTGTACTTTCTAGTTTCCCATCTTCAGTACATAGCTGGGGTCCAACTACCCCACAAACATTTTTCAGACCCAAAGTTGAGTCAAAATAATTAATGGTTAGGGATTGCCTCTGGCATTGTTTGCATAACTGCTTATGGCCTTAAGTTAGTGGCCAGCAATAATGCATGCCTACTTTTTATAAGAATGATTAATGTTCAATGCAAATGAGTTGCTAATAACAAAAAAAAGGGTTCTGTGGGATGGCAGCACCATTTTCACCTCAAGTAACTATGCTTATTTGAATAGGGTTAAGGTTAGGGTTCCAACCTAACATCTAACAAATATGACATTGGACAATTCAGTGGATATACAGATCAAGAGAGCCACATCCTACTAACTGTCACTGCCTGCAGAATGCCACCAAAAACTTTATCTAGATCCGGTTTTTGACATAGGCAAAATTAACCTGCTGAGTTGTAAATAGTAGCTATCAGAATGCAGGTGAAGTAATTCTGACAAAGCAGGTAGAACCACTGCATGGAGAAATGGAAAGCATAGCTTATTATTAGTCCAGCATTGTTTAGTGCTAATTTACACTTACGTAGCAGATGCCATTCATCCTGCTGAATGGTTTTTGTAAGATTGAAAGGAATATTTCTTAGACGAATGGGCTGGGAGTAGTGATACTTGACAGATGTGCATCTCTGCGCAATTCCTAAGAGAAAAATAAAATTCATCAAACATTAGACAGCCGGGACTTAAATAATGGAAATCTGTCATAATCATATAAACAGAATAAATATTATTTTGAAGTACTCACCATCACAATTAGCATGTTTATGTATTGACTGATTTATGATGAAAATGCTTAAATTATACTTGTGATATAAATGGTACTATGTTCATATCAGAATAATTACCAATGGCACAGAATACAGTATTTAGCTGATGAAATAATAACTCGTAAAATAGTCTTCCTGAAAATACCATCATTCCATCCACACCATTGTTGTACAATATGTTAGCCATTATCAACATGTAACTAATTGAGAAACCTGGCCTAGATTATTGTATTTTTGATTAGTAAATAAAATATGAGTTGTAGGCATTGACATTAGACCTGTGATCTGAATACTCATATTTTTTGATGTACGCATGTGTGCTTTAACCATTTTTGTGTATTTATTTGTGAAATGTTGGGATATAAAGCATAAAGTGTGTTTTTTCATGTTTTGTGTCCTTTACTACTTTTGTTCCTGCTAATTCTCTGGAATAGTTCCTATGGATTGGAGGGTAGTTAATGCAATCTCACTATTTTAAAAAAAAAGATAGAGAGAAAACAAGGAATTATAGGCCTGTTAGCTCAGCATCAGTAGTAGAAAAATGCTAGAGTTCATTATCAAGGTTTAGTAGCCGAGAACTTGGAAAATGGTGACAGAATTGGACAGAGTCAGCGTACAAAACAGAAATCATGCTTGATGAATTTACTGGAATTGTTCTAGATGTAACTAGGTCTCACATAAGAGATTAGCATGTAAAATCTAAGTGCATGGGATTGGGTTAGTGTATTGAGATGGATAGAGAATTGATTTGCAGACAAAAAACGTGTCTTTTTCTGAGTGGCAGGCAGTGACCAGTAAGGGAACAAGGTGCAGGGCTGGATGAACACAGCAGGCCAAGCAGCATCATAGGAGCAGAGAGGCTGACGTTTCGGGCCTAGACCCTTCATCAGAAAAGGGGGAGGGGAAGGGGGTTTTGAAATAAATAGGGAGAGAGTGGGAGGCGGATAAAAGAGGGATAGAGGAGAGGATAGGTGGAGAGGAAACAAACAGGTCGAAGAGGCGGGGATGGGGCCAGGAAAGGTGAGTGTAGGTAGGGAGTTAGGAAGGGGATAGGTCAGTCCAGGGAGGACGGACAGGTCAAGGGGGCGGGATGAGGTTGGTCGGTAGGAGATGGAGGTGCGGCTTGAGGTGGGAGGAGGGGATAGGTGGGAGGAAGAACAGGTTAGGGAGGCAGGGACGAGCTGGACTGGTTTTGGGATGCGGTGGGGGGAGGGGAGATTTTGAAACTTGTGAAATCCACATTGATACCATTGGGCTGCAGGGTTCCCATGCGGAATATGAGTTGCTGTTCCTGCAACCTTCGGGTGGCATCGTTGTGGCACTGCAGGAGGCCCAGGATGGACATGTCATCTGAGGAATGGGAGGGGGAGTTGAAATGGTTCGCGACTGGGAGGTGCAGTTGTTTGTTGCGAACCGAGCGTAGGTGTTCTGCAAAGCGGTCCCCGAGTCTCCGCTTGGTTTCCCCGATGTAGAGGAAGCCACACCGGGTACAGCGGATGCAGTATACCACATTGGCAGATG